TGAATAGAAAGGAAAGGAGTACAATGACATGCTATAAACTTCAAAAAGTGGTTAAAACACACATACACAGAAAATGTGAAAGACGTGAAGTAGATTAATAGCTTGACGTTATAATTCCTGGATTCAAATTCACCAATACATACTAGCTCTGTGAACTAGAGCACATTATTTTACCTCTTTGACCCTAATCTATAAAATTAAGATTACGGAACCCACTTCAAGGAATTTATGTATAACTTAAGCAACAAAATTTAACATGTTAAATCATATATTAGGTTATTCCCCACAATTTTATAAGTAGTTACTCTATCAACTCCATTTCATATTCAAAAACTCAGGCTTAGAAAGAGGTTTAGTTAAAGGGCACCCAACTACTAAGTGCTGGAGCTGAGATTTGAATTTAGATGTAATTCTTAGATATGTACACACTATACAGTACATATGTCCCTCCTCTTTTGTGGTAGCAGTGTACCCCAAGATCCTATATTCTCTATCTGGTAGAAAAGCCCTTCCTTAAACATCTGCAGAACTCATGCAAGAGCTTGTCTATGCAACATATGCATAAAAATTGAATGTTTAATGTGTAGTGAGTGTACTATGAAGGCCCTGAGAAAAGATGATAAAAGAGAAACAGCCCATCGCTTCAAAAGACGTGTAATGGTTAAAAAGAATATACTCACACCACAAGAGCCTTAATACACAAAGTAATAGCAATTATAAGTTATTAAATGTAAATTGCAGAGACTCAATAAGGAGACAGCAAAGTATAATGGACACAAGAGAATTGTATTACAGTAGTGCTACTTTAAAAGAGAAGTTTAGATGAAGGAGGAGTGCAGGAACAACGTCTTTCTCAAAGAACATCTAAATACGATCCTAGGGATCCTAAAGTGTGCGAGATTAAGGAGACGATTATGAAGTTCGATCAAGATCCAACTCGGAGCCCTAGAGCAGGGCAAAGCGGCAGTGCTCTAGCTCGGCAGTTGACTGTAGTGTGGACGGAGACCTGGAAGAGGAGGGGGATCTCAGCATTAAAATCAGCTGGCGGGAACAGGACCAGACGTAAAGCTGAGGCAGCAGTGGGCAAAAGGAACGGGAAAAGAAACAGGCCCCAAGGCATGTGGCACTTTACAAGACCAAATCGTGACGCTTTCCCCCGGCCTCTTCGGCCCTCCGCTGGGGCAGGTTTGCTCGCAGAAGGCACAGAACCCCGAGCAGTTGGGGGCGGGGGCGCGGACTGCGGCCGACAGGCAGCTGGGCTGAGAGTTCCGCAGTTCCCGTCCAAAGCAGGCCTTCTAGAATCCAGGCTAGAACCTGAAAGTTCCAGGCGGGCACTGTCACCACCGTCTCGGCGTTCTTTCCCAGATCTGCCCGCCTCCTCCCCTTGGTAAACTTTTCCCGGGAACTTACCCGCCATTTCCGAGCTGCGAGCACCCGCGGCTGAGGAAGGACGAATCAACCCGCGCGCTCCCGGGCCGGAAGTGACCGCACTGTCTGAAACATTTCCCCCACCCACCCGTAGCGTGACGCTAGCCAATGAAGGGAGGAGTGTCAAGGCTCGCTGTGGCGAAAGGGCCTCAAGAGGCGGGGCTAACGCCGCGAAGAACGCGCGGACCGTTGCTTAGCCACCGCCAGTGCCGTCAGCCACTTTGCAGGCCTGACGTGGGGGAGGCCGCAAATGGGACCCTGTATGTTGAGGTGCTCGCTGGTCCGAGGAGAGTTTCTTCTGTGGGGTTGTTTTGAATGCTACAAACACCTTAGTGCTATTTTCCATACTCCCGCTCCCCGAAAGGTTTTGGAGACTGGTTGAAAACTCCCCTTGGGCTGGACAATGATCCAAACCAGAACCATAGTTTTACCTAGGTATGTAAGGGGTGAGTTTCAGTTGCGAGAGAAATTTTCACTTATTTTCCATATTTGTTTATACTTTTGCCGCAAATTTTAACATTGTGTTTCCTTTCTCATGTTTTTAGCAATATATAGTGTGATATTTAGGTACTCTTTCACTCCTTAGGTTGCTAGGCAACTATTTAGTGCACCAAAATCGTTACCTAATAATACCTCAGGTGGCCTGATTTAGTCATGCGTGTCTCAAGTCCCAGTGGCTTGAATTACATCACAGGATTCTCCCTCATTTTAGTCATAGGCCTTGTTAGTATTTAGTAGCTGTTGAAACTGTTTCTCCCAGAGGATAAACCACTATTTAAGTACCCACAAATATTCCCACAATGTTGTCTATATACTAGAATCCCTTATCTCAGCAAGCATTTGTTAGTAGGTTTTTTTTTTTTTTTTTT